TGCCTTTGTTCTTCGATCACCTTCCCTGACAGACAGAATTATTGTCTGCTGTCCCTTTAAGAGCGGCCGCTGCTGCACGACACATCTCACACTCTACGTTCAACTCTACGCGTTGACAGCCCTAGTTTATATATGTTGTCAGTGCACCATGTTTGACTTCGATATCCACAGGTTAATTTGTTGGTGTGTGGTTATTTGGAATAGGTGACGTGCTCCAAACTCCCGGCGGGATCTCCAGACTTCATGGCCCCTGAGATCCTGTCGGGACTCGACTGCGGCCCCGAGAGCGACTGGTGGTCCCTGGCCGTCATCGCTTATGAAATGATCTACATGAAATCACCCTTCGCTGACGGCACGTCCACTAAAACCATCAACAACATCATCAACTTTCAGGTGAATCCAGCAGTGTGGATTACATGTTAGTATTAATCCTCTAGCTCAGACATTAGAGCGTTGGCACCGCCAAGGTCACAGGTTCGATTCCCAGGGAAAGCAAGAACTGAAAAGAATAAAAGTGTGTGCCTTGAAATGCAATGTAAGTCACATCTGCTAAATGCATAAATGTTAATTATTATATGTATTAATTAAGCAGCAACCTTCATATACTGCAATTGGCCACTAGAGGCCGGCTGCAGAAGAGAGTCAATCCCATAGAGCTCCATGTTAAAATGCCCAACTTTACAGCAGAATAAACAATGTTTACAGTCTGGTGCAGTTTTTTTTTAAACTTATCCATTTAAATTATATTAAGCCTCATGCTACGTTCACACCGGACGCGAATCGCGCGTCAAATTCGCGCCTGACGCGTCTAGTTTGACCACTTTGTGATAATTCGCGTGTCAAGAGCGAAACTGGCGCGCGTAAAAACAAAAGTTTGAAGCGAAATTTACGCGCGTCAGAATCGAAATCCGTTGGCGGCCATTGTTTTTATGTCGACCGAGCATTCATCAAGAGAGTTACCGCTCTGTATTTACTCTGGAGAGCAGAACAGCGGCGTGGGGATCATCGTCGCCGTATATTTGTGTCCACCGGACCCTTCAGAGCCGAACCGTTTGGCGAGTTTCACCATTTGCTCGCTCCTGCGCTGGATGACGGCCGCTGTCAGCGGTACTTCCGCCTGTCCCGCGCCCAGTTTGATGACCTGTTGTCCCGCATCTGAGCGAGGATCACCCTCGCCCTCATCCATCTAATCTAGCTGTCATTTATTTTTTGTTTTGATGATAAATAGAGCCAGCCTTCAAAAGTTATTAACCTGTCCTGTGATTTTTTTTTTTTTCTCTCTCTCACGTCCAGACACGAATTTATGCACATATGTTGATATGTTGAATGCACAAATGGCATTAACTGAATCATTCGCGCTTAACGCGCCAGACGCTCAATTCGCGGTAGCGAGGCGTATTCGCGTCTTCCGCGCCTCGCTCCACGCCTCATTCGCGCCGCAGGAATTTTTCACGCGCGTAAAGCGTCTTTGCATTGACTTAACATTGAAATCATTCGCGCCTGACGCGCTATTCGCGTCCGGTGTGAACGTAGCATTAAAGTTGTGCTTAATTAAGGGCGTGGCCACTTGAGTGACAGGTGGATTGCCGCTGATGTCACTACTAGCCGTTTGTCTGCTGTGTGTTAGCGTCCCGTCACCTCAGCTAATCCGCTTCGCTGCACGTGTTCGTTTATCCGGGAGTGACACGCGTTCAAGATGGCGACGGCCGGCTCCGCCCACTTTAGGTTTCGAAAATGCTCTTCAGAAACACTACATAACGATCACTACGTCTATGAAATTATTTCTGAAACGCCTCCATTGTAGTCTTGATTTTCTTCCGGGAATGAACACGTCACAGTATTCCTCATTTAAATAATTAATGCGCATAGTAAAGGGGCGGGGCCTGGTTGAGTTAGTTAGTAGTGTGTTAAACTGGCGGTTATGGAAAGGGGCGGGACATTTCCCAAACACTCTCGAAGCGCTCGACCAATCACAACACACTGCTCAAGCCAACCAATCAGAGCACAGTGTGCTTTCAGAAGGAGGGGCTTCATAGAGACAGGAAGTAAACAGAGCGTTACTGACAGACTGGGAAGAGAGGAGCCGCAACAATGGAGAATATGAGGAGAATAATCAACATTCAAGTTCACTTAACATCATTAAAAAACATCAACACTTTGAAAAAGAACATTTTAATGGCATTTTTAAATTATAAGTAAATCTTTGTTTTATTTAAGAGTGAATACATATCACGAAATGTGCTGAACTTTGTAGAAATGGTGATGTTTATTGCAATATATATACATTTTTAGTAGGGCTGTGCAAAAATTAATTGCGATTAATCGCATCCAAAATAAAAGTCTGTTTACATAATATATTTACGTGTGCTGTATATAATTATTTTGTAAATATAAATACACACACATGTATGTATATATTTAAGAAAATGTGTTATTCGTATATAAAATATTTATATTTATAGATTATGTATTTATATACATATACAAAATTTAAGCACAAATAATTCTTAAATATATACATGCATGCATAGGTATTTATATATACAAAGGTATTTATATATACAAAATAATTATATACAGCACACACAAATATATTATGTAAACACAGACTTTTATTTTGGATACGATTAATCGCAATTAATTTTTGCACAGCCCTAATTTTTAGCAATATCAAGTCAAGCCACTTTTATTTCTATAGGGCTTTATACAATGCAATTACTTTGCAAAGCAGCTTCACAGTGATAAACTGAAAAATAACATGCTATACCTGAGGAGATTAGACAGCTCAATACTTGCAAGGCTTTTCCAAAAAACGTGAAAATTTGGCTCATTAACAATTATGTCTGCCAACATTAAACGCCGAACCATGAGCTGTATCATATATTTATAGCTTTTTTTCTAAATGTGTCTGTGTATCTTATTATTGAAACAGGTACAGTGTACCCTAAGTTATCTCATATTGTTATTTATATTGTAGTTATTTTTTACTTATGAATGTATTTTCTTGTATGTATTGTAATGCTTTTTTTTACACCATGGCCAGATGAAAAATAGCCTTTTGGCTAATTCTGGCTTTTTTAACCATGTTTGTTCATGCGTTTTATGAAATTGCACTGTCCCTTTTTAAATAAACCAATAAATCAAATCAAACAGTATTAATGTTTGTAAAGTGCATCATCTGTTATAAATCAGCTATAAACAGCTCTATAGAAGATGCGTGTCGTTAATCATTTCAAGTTTCGAGTGAGTTTAGTTCAAAGTTTAGCTACATAACCCAACGACAAATACAAAAATGTAATGTTTCCATGTGTGTGTTTTGCCCTCAGCGTTTTCTGCAGTTCCCAGAGGAGCCTAAAGCCAGCACTCAGTTCCTGGACCTTCTCCAGAGTTTGTTGCGTGGACCTCGGGAGCGTCTGGGATACGAAGGCCTGCGCTCGCATCCGTTCTTCGCCTCCGTGGACTGGACCAACCTGAGACGGGGTGAGTGAAGCGCTCATCCGTTCTGAACTTCTGAAGCACAATGTCATTTTTCCATGTCTGTTAATTACGGGGTTTTAACCCTTGTGCTGCATTAGATTTTTAACACCGTTGAGTGCATTAAGAACCAAAAATGGCCACATATTAAACATTGCCTAAAATATTATATATTATTATTATTTTCCACTTTTACCAAGTTAAATCTTTTAACCAGCATCAGTCCTCATCATAACTACCAAAAATGTATTCAATTTCAGGATTTTAACCCTTTAATTACCAGTTTTGTTTGCGAAACCATCGATTTGTATAAGAGGAAAAAACACAAAAATTCAATTATTTTCAATAAACTAAATGCAAAGAGAAAACTTTAGATTTGGATTATCACAGTCCCACTTTGCAAAAAATCCCACTTAGCGCGTTAGAGACCAAAAATGGCCACCTATTAAACATTGCCTATTGCCTAAAATAAGGTGCATTTCCACCCATAGGGAATAAATATGTAGTGACGTCATCTGGTGGAATACACTATATAATGCAAATATAATGCTTTTGCTTCAAAATGAAAGGATGTTTGTGCAAAAATCATGTTTCATGTATTACTGACAGCCTCAGAGTTAAACAACGTTTTAATGGGTTTCAATGGGCCATTTTTGGTCTTTATGGTGCTGAGTGTTACTATTTGATCTACACAGTGTGTGTTATACATATTTTGCAAAATGGGATCACATTTTTTACATGTATCCAAAAAGGCACAATTTTGCCAAATTTCATACCATTTGCATTAAAACAGCCAAAATGGTCAAAGAAATTAAACTGCAAAAGACCAAAAATGTCCCTAATGCAGCATAAGGGTTAATCTTGACTGACTTGCTGCTATTTCTGTAGCCTTTAAAGCGATGACTTCTCTTGTGTGATTGCTTGGGCCGGAGCACAGATTGCTCTGCGGGTTTAAGTGAAACACAGAGGATCTGAATTAATTCATTAAGCCTGTGATGTAAAGCTCTGAGTTTATTATGAATCTGCTTTAAGGCTTTAGGACTGTTAGCCCCGGGTGTGCAGAACACACATTATCTTAAATCACAGTATTATCACAGTAAACATTATTGCAGTCTATCCACCTTATTCCTGACGAGCTTATGGGCGGCACTTCCGGTTTGGGAAACATCCATTCATAAAGACTGAAACGAATTTTCCTTCATGATTTATTTTCAGACATCATGAGAATAACGTTATACTTGGTATTTTAACGTGACATGTTATAACAAGCTCTTTTCAGTCGCTGCTTTCTTTTCCTCATGATGATTTTTATTTTTTTCCATTGCAATCCGCTGTAAAAGTATGAAAAACGACGACATATACGGCACATTTGTGGTCTGTTCTCCCGAATTTAGTTTACGATATTCCACTGTAATGCACGAAGAATCTCTTGTTGTTCTCCGCAAATCCTCTCGTCTCTTTCCAGGTTCGTTTTCATGGGTAAATGCAGTTTATAATCTGTCAAAATGACGAAAATCACTTTGATATAGTGAATTCGAGCCAGACCGATTTATCGACAGGCCGATATTAGGCATTTTCCGAACTATCGGTATCGGCAGTTATAATGGCCGATAAATGAATATTTCAAAAATAAAATAAAAACGGACGAAAAAACATGCTTCAACCATTTCCAAATGCAATTTATAATCTGTCAAAATGATGACAATCACTTTGATAAGTGAATGCTGAAGTTAATGAACATTTTTGATTAAGGCTTGTTATACAATACAGATATATTTGCCTGCTACAGTGATATTAACCAAAGACTCGCGCGTTTGGGGATATTTTTGGTCTGTTGAAAGTACCTTGTTGATTCTTTTACACTTTTAAATTTCATTTTAATGTTTGATGGTTGAAGGGTGAGTTGATTAATGTCATCGCATTGTGACACTTTTTTAGTGTATTGCGTTCATAGAGCGAGCCTTTTGCTTATTGTTTACCGCTTAACCGAAGTTACACTCATAATTCGCGCAAAGCGTCATGGGGCGCAGGAATAAAGTAAATAGTATACGTTTCTTACTATCACTGTTGAAAACAGTTGTCGCTTAATTTTTTGTGGAAATGCGTACGTTTGATTTTTTTTTTTTTTCATGATTCTTTAATGAATAGAAAGTTCAAAATGACAACATTCATTTAAAATAAATTATTTTGTAACATTATAAATGTCTTTGTCACTTTTGATTCATTTTGATTCATCATTGAGGAATAAAAATAATATTTTTTTTTATATTTCTTTCTCCAATCTTTTGAATAATAGTTAATCACGGTTTACACAAAAATATGAACCGTTTTCAACACTGATAATAATCATAAATGTTTCTTGAGCATCAGATCCTCATATTAGAGTGATTTCTGAAGGGTCATGTGACACTGAAGACTGGAGTAATGATGATAAATTCAGCTTTGATCACAGGAATAAATTACACTTTACTGTATATTCACATAGAAAACAGATGATTTACATTATAATACTATTTCACTAATTCACTCTTTTTAATCAAATAAATGCAGCTTTGGTGAGCAGAAGGGACTCTGTTTTTTGTTAAGAGACACTACCAACTTTTCTCAATATAGCACTGGAAAATCAGTTCATATGATATACATATTTATGATATATATATATATATATATATATATGATATATTTACTGCCATAAACTCTGATTACAAACCATGTCAATGGGATAAAAACGTATATAATAATGTCTATTATGCCCACACACACACACACTCTGGAATTAGTCAGATTATAGAGTGTGCAGGTGTTCCCACAGAGAGAAGCTCTTAGATCAGTCACACAGCCAAACCATAATGAGATCACACGCACACACACACACACACCAATTTCTTGCTCACCCTGCTGAGTTTCCTACAGGATTTTCTTCCTTCAGGATTCAACCCTTGAACTCTTGTTGTTTGAACAACTTGACAGAAATCAGTTTGATTTGAAGAGTTTGTGTAATGAGGAATCAAGGCTCTTTCTCACTGACGACAGATCTGAATATTTTTACAAAGTTTGGATTTTTTTGCATTTGTGTTTGCTAACTCAAATTTTAATTTTTGCCCGCCATGAAAGACAAAATTGTTTTTTACTGCAAAATCAGCACTAGTTAAAAAACAAAACCAAAAACATGTGTGGATCGCGGTTATATCTGCGAACACTGTATGATCCGCGGGTTGGAAAAAAAACATTACAATGAATTGCAGGTGAATGAGGGATAAATCATTAATGTGTTGATTTTAATAAAGACACCAAAATCAAATTTCTTGGTATAATGCAATGAAAGTACCTGAGATATTGCTTAATAACTTAACAGCTTTAAGTAAAGTTATCCACAAGGGTGGCGGGTGGATGATTTGTATTTAACAGTGGATTCGTTAGAACATCCATTACTAAATAAAAACACAAGGATCTTATACTTAATGTTACTACAATGAAAAGTTACAGCATCTCATACAAAAAAAAACTATAAAAATGGTCAAAACTAGCTTAAACATACTTCATCTTATACAAAAATGATTAAAATATTTTTTGGATAATATTCATATTGTGTGGCTGCTTCACCCTAGAAAACGTTACTAATAAATCAGTGGTTATTTCTGTATGATCGTGATCGATTGGATTGGACGGGACATTGACCTGCAACTTTTTATTCCACTCGTTCGTTTTCTGAGACCAATCAACTCTGAAGAATGGTGTGTGTGCGTGTGTGTGTGTGTGTGCGCAGTGTTTCTGTCAGATTCTTCTCGTTTTTTAAATGAATAAATTGATTGTGTAAATGTATAAACCAACCCCCCAGCGGCAGATGCATTGTGTGTGTGTCAATACAGCTGTTTGTGTAGATGCAGCGCTGCATGTGTGTGTGTCTTTGTTTTTGTGATATGTGAGGACAGAAGTCTGAATAATGACATGGGTGTTACAACGTGATTTATGAGGATATTTCCTGAGTCCTCGTTTTTCAAATTGCTTTAAACAAAGACATACTAAAAATGCATAAAGATTTCTGTGATGGGAGGTTTAGGGGTTGTGTGTGTGTGTGTGATGGGTAGGTTTAAGGTAAGTGTGTGTGTGTGATGGATAGGTTTAGGGGTATACACAGAATATACTTTACGCCTATTAAATGTCCTCACAAGTATAGCAAAACAAGTGTGTGTGTGTGTGTGTATGTGTGTATCGCATCAGGTTTTGGCTGTGACTCACTCTGATTAGCTGAGACTGCTGCAGTGAGAGAGAGAGCGGGCGAGCGAGTTATTGCGCTACAGTCTCATCACTGAGACCCTCTCTCTCTCTCTCTCTCTCTCTCTCTCTCTCCTCCAGTCTGTTTTTCTCACCGACCCTCTCACACGTTTTCTCCTGTCGTCTCCTCCAGCGCTCCCTCCGTTTGTTCCGTCTCTGCGTTCTGATGATGACACCTCTAATTTCGAGGAGCCGGACCGGCCCGTGGTCCCCGCCGCCTCGGCTCTCGATCGCCCTCGCACTGGCTTCCACGGACAAGACCTGCCCTTTGTAGGCTGGTGCTTTAGTCGGGCTCTGAGCGCACTGGCCAAGTCTGAGTGAGTACACACACACACACACACACACATGCTGATTTGACTAGTCTAGTCACAGGTGGTCCATTGGTGCGGAGACGGTCGCATCACCACGGCGACTGTCACCAGGCAACATTGTGGCTGAATGCGAGGTATTGCTTCTCTCGCGTGCTCATGTGTCATTAAGATGAATGAGAGAGAGAGTGTGTGTGTGTGAGCGCACAGACGTTTTTGTAACAGACTCACGGATCTGGGAATATCTCTCGGATGTGTTGCCATGTGCATATGTATAAAGCGCGCTCATGTGTCTTTAAGATGAATGGGTGTGTGTTGGGATGTTTTTGTAACAGAGACTCACGGATCTGGGAATATCTCTCGGATGTGTTGCCATGTGCATATGTATAAAGCGCGCTCATGTGTCTTTAAGATGAATGGGTGTGTGTTGGGATGTTTTTGTAACAGAGACTCACGGATCAGGGAATGTCTCACAGATGTGCATGCAGGGGAACGGGAAACCCTCGTCCGGAGTGTGTGTGTGTGTGTGTGTGATCGTGCAGCACAATGAAATCCCCTTCAGCATGTAAACACTGTGTAACGTGAGCGGATCTGTGTTTGCCGAGATGTGGGCTGTTGTTTTGGTCTGCGTTCACATCTTTGCTTCAGGCTCGGTGTTTATTGAACGGGTGTATTTCAGCTATGAATCAGAAGAAAAGCATGAGAACTAAACATTTTTTTAAAATTTAATTTCTCTCTAATTGTCATTACTGTGCAAAAATATCAATACTGTAATATAGATATAGATAGATAGATAGATAGATAGATAGATAGATAGATAGATTGATTGATTGATTGATTGATTGATAGATAGATATTGAATGCTTTTTATTTCATATTTTTAATTAAAATGTTCAATATCATTTTCCCCAATTCTCGTTATTGTATTTTTTTTTATTGTAGGTTGTTTTTTTTTACATCATTTCCCCCCAATTGTCACTACCATAATGCAAAAGTCTAATTACTGTAAAATTTGTTTCCTACAATCCCCCCCCCCCTAATTCTCATTATTGTAATGTTTTTATTTGTTTTATTTTAGTGAGATTTCCTTTTGTTTATTTCCTACCAGTTGTCATTACCATAATGCGTGAAACATTCTTATTACTGTAATATTTATTTCCTATTTAAATGGTTTCATTTTAATTTCAATAAAACATTTCCAATCTCTATTACCATAATGCAAACAAAAACCTCATTAATGTAATGGTAAAGCATTGAAACATCATTGCATGTTTTTAATTAGTTGATTTCAATGAAACTTGCGTTACAAAATAACTGTATTGCAGTAATGAGAATTTCTCAAGAGAGCATCTGGATCCATTGCAGTGGTGTGTGAGTGTGTGTGTGTGTGTTAGAGACATCCTGTCCAGTGATTCCCTGCATCTATGAATGCATTGAAGCGTGAGTTTATTGTTATGCGCCGCTCAGTTCCTGTGTGCTGTAAGATCATAATGTGGATCAGCAGAAGGTCTCAGTCTGGAATCTGGTCCCAGATCAGCCGTAAATAACGTGTTTTTCATCTAGGAGCTGAAGGGAAAGCACAGGCAAAACCAGAAAGGTGAAGCTTTATAATGTTAGAAAGAAAACGAAGCCAGAACCCAGAATGCATTATTATGGTAGCCAGGGTGTGTTTCCTTCACATTCACACGCATATTCTCTCTCTAATCCTGAAATGCGTATTTGTCCAGCTGCATATCATGTTGCTGTCGTCTTGATAAAGCGCTTCCAGCTTCATGAAATCCGCCGAACGCAACACACGCAGCCCCAGCAGAGGAGCGTGGGAATGTTAATGCAGAAGCGCAGCTGCTGATTGGTGCAGTGGAGATGTGTTGCGATATGAGAACGCTGGATCCGTCTTGAGGCAAACAAACATCTGTAATAATGAGTGATGCATCTTGCGAGGACCGTAAACTGCGCTTCACTGATGCACTCTTCTGAAATGCATGCATTGAGACCGCAGTAGGTGTGGTGTTTTGTGGACTTGATGTGATGTGTTTTTATAAACATGAGCATAGACATGCTGTCTTTTCTAGTGTTTATGAGGCAGTGGGATAGAAAAACATGTGTTTATTGGGCGGTGCGACGGAAAAACTTGCGTTTATCAGGCGGCGCGACGGAAAAACTTGCGTTTATGGGGCGGTGCAACGGAAAAACTTGCGTTTATCGGGCGGTGCGACGGAAAAACATGCGTTTATCGGGCGGTGCGACGGAAAAACATGCGTTTATCGGGCGGTGCGACGGAAAAACTTGCGTTTCTGGGTGGTGCAACGGAAAAACTTGCGTTTATCGGGCGGTGCGACGGAAAAACATGCGTTTATCGGGCGGTGCGACGGAAAAACATGCGTTTATGGGGCGGTGCAACGGAAAAACTTGCGTTTATCGGGCGGTGCGACGGAAAAACATGCGTTTATAGGGCGGTGCGACGGAAAAACATGCGTTTATCGGGCGGGGCGACGGAAAAACATGCGTTTATCGGGCGGTGCGACGGAAAAACTTGCGTTTATCGGGCGGTGCGACGGGAAAACATGCGTTTATCAGGTGATGCGACAGAAACTTGCGTTTATCGGGCGGTGCGATGGGGAAACATGCGTTTATCAGGCGGTGCGACAGAAACTTGCATTTATCGGACGGTGTGACGGAAAAACTTGCGTTTATCAGGCGGTGCGACGGAAACTTGTTTATCGAGCAGTGCGACGGAAACTTGCGTTTATCGGGCGGTGCGACAGGAAAACATGCGTTTATCAGGCGGTGCGACAGAAACTTGCATTTATCAGACGGTGCGACGGAAAAACTTGCGTTTATCGGGCGGTGCGACGGAATCTTGTGTTTATCGGGCGGTGCGACGGAATCTTGTGTTTATCGGGCGTTGCGACGGAAAAACTTGCATGTTTTCCTGTCGCACCGCCTGATAAACGCAAGTTTTTCCGTCGCACCGTCCGTTAAACTCAAGTTTTCCTGTGCGACAGGAAAACATGCGTTTATCAGGCGGTGTGACAGAAACTTGCATTTATCGGACGGTGCGACGGAAACTTGTGTTTATCAGAGACACCCCTCGCTGCAGCCTGTAGCACGATGACGTAGCTGGATGGTCCAATACGTGTTTGACGCTGTAACGCGCGCATGCGCACTAGTCAAGTCAAGTCATTTAGATATAATTTAATGTAACAGATTGTTTTTGCTTTATAGCGGTTCATGAATAATGTTATTTTACAGCTAAAGTTAGTTTTGATTCTGTCGAAATTATAATTTGTTATTAAATTAGGGGATGACACCATTCTCTCTAAACAGACTTTAAATGCGATCCTGTGATAAACGCTGATGGCACATGCACATTAAGAATTCAGTTAGTGTAGAGAGTTGGTGAACAATCGTTGATCTTCCAAGAATACATTTAAATATGGTCACGAGCGAAGCTCTTATTTTCAAAGCTTTCAGAATAAAACATTTTTTTTTAAATAATTGCGACTTTTTCCTTACAATTGCGAGTATACTTTTCGCATACTGACTTTATTTCTCAGAATTGTGAGATATAAATTCAGAATTGCGTGAAATAAAGCCTCAATCGCATGTTATAAAGACAGAATTGGGTGAAATAAAGCCTCAATCGCATGTATAAAGACATATAATTGCTTGAAATAAAGCCTCAATCGCATGTTATAAAGACATAATTGGGTGAAATAAAGCCTCAATCGCATGTTATAAAGACAGAATTAGGTGAAATAAAGCCTCAATCGCATGTTATAAAGACAGAATTGTGTGAAATAAAGCCTCAATCGCATGTTATAAAGACAGAATTAGGTGAAATAAAGCCTCAATCGCATGTTATAAAGACAGAATTGGGTGAAATAAAGCCTCAATCGCATGTTATAAAGACATATAATTGCTTGAAATAAAGCCTCAATCGCATGTTATAAAGTAGGGCTGCAACTAACGATTATTTTGATAATCGATTAATCGGACGATTATTTTTTCGATTAATCGATTAATCGGATAAAAATTATATTCCATTTTTTTGTTTATTATAACAAAATAAAACCCTAAAAACCACACTCTTTTGTGTGCTAAACAATCTACTTAATACAGACAACTTCATTTTAAAGAAAAACAACAAATAAAAAATATATATGACCATAACCTATGAAAAAAATGCTATTGTAAACTAGATTAGTGGATAACTCAGCAAAACTTAGCCTAGAAATATCACAAGTGCACAATAATTTTATAAAATCTGAACATTTAGTGAAAAAAATATTCCTTAGTGGGGAACAAATAAGAGACAATAAGTGTAGCACTAACTCTGGTAAAACGTACACATTGCTCTTTGTATTGTTGTTATACATTTATGAAAAACATCGTAAAAATCAGATGCACAACTGTTTTAAATGTAAAGCACAGCTGTTTAGTGAGGAAGCAAAATATAATAGATAGGACAGAACAAGAAAGGCTATTAATAAGCTTTCATTGTGCAGAAGTATTATGACATGATCATGAAAGAGCTGCACAAAGTGCTTATATCGCGAGCGTTGAATGATGCGCTTGAAGCAACACGGAGTCACAGGGCGGCGCGCAGCTCTTCAGTGTCCGCCGCATTAAAGTTAAAAGCACCAAGGAAAGAGAAAGACATATTGACTGTGTATTATACAGTATTATGCAATAGTTTATTAAGCCTTTTCTTTTAACAGTTTTAAATTTCAGTTAGGCTACTGTGCACGTGAAGAACAATTATAACTGCGCCGACTCTACTATAGTGTTGTGATCTAACAGACACTCAGTAGAAAGTGATTAAGTTACAGCAATAAAAGTCTAGCAAGATTTATCTACGGATCAATTATAATAATAACATTGAATCATCTTGGAAAGAGATCATCATGTTAACTGTTGTAACGCGACGCGAATAGAGAATGACTGACAGCCGCAGTGGAGGGAAAAGCTTAGGTTAACTTGAATTTAATGACTTAAATATACATTTC